ACTGAACTCCTCCTCCTCTTTCAGAAAAACTATTGCAGTGAAGTTCGGCTCGGGAGTGCATTACTGACAAACATCTTCACAGTGCTCCTGGGGGGTAAGGGCCACGAAGATGTCCTTTTCTTCGTACATTACTAAAATCTGAAGTAGGGGCAGGGAAGGTTAGTAGGGAGCTGCTGGAACAATAGCTACACAATGGCCGGGTCATAACTGCATCCTGAATACACCATGAAAAGAATGATGTTATGCCACCCACAGTGAGTGACGGGTGGTCTGCATATGCAGATTTGGAAATGACAGAATGAAATAAGCCTAAAGGATGTACTCATACAGGTATTTGAAGAATGATTTTGTCATAATTTACCTTGCTTCAGATAAATAAGTAAAAGTCGTACTAAATATATTTTTAATTATAATGTATCATTTGGCATCAATGAATAAGAGCTACTGCCTGGACTCAAAAAAAAAATGTTTTAATTCCTAGGGTCCATGTAACTTGGTTTTCCTAAGCAAAATCAAGTTGTTGAGTTAGCAGTTATTCAACCCCTGATTTTCTGAGAGATTTAAGAATAAAGGAGCCAATAAACTTTTTGAGAAAAGGGTCCAGAGGCACCACAAAGAGAGCGAGTCTTGGCTCTTGGGAGTTGGGTTGCTGCCAGTGACAGGATTTATTCTTCTGGTGGGTGAAGATCCAAGACCCAAGACTATCGCTTTTATTTTTCCCATCCTTGCCTTATGGGGCTTTGCCCTGAGTCTGAGGTAGGGAGGGGAAACAGCACATCCATCTGTCATGTCCATCCTGAAGGGGATGTTACTCTGGGACCAGGGATAGAAGCTAAAAGGTAACAGTTGGTGTTCCTTCCTTTATGTATATCTGAAGGAAGTCAACTGTAACCTTTATACTTCACTTCCAACTGGAAAACTCTCTGTGAACCACTTTGTCACTGTAAGACTTAAATGTTTACAGAAGAGGGTCAACTGTGCTAATCTAAGTTAACTTCAAACAGGTCAAAGACAAAGATGAAGCTTCCTGAAATCTGCAGGGTTTTAGCCAGCTGTCAGTGTCCCATTATAGAATACATACAACTAGGGGAATATCGAGCCCTGAATGAACTCTTGTCCTGGGCTCGTCGTAGGTGTCATGAATCATCAGAAATATTAAGTAAGGTTTCCATTCTCCAGACTGAATTTATTTTATGAACCCAGGTATGCAGGCTAGATTACTCTTAATCCTGGGTCCATAGTGCACTATAATCTGTGGTCAATGCAACCCTTTGTTTTATTTGTATTATGTATCTATTTCGTTAACTTGTTTTTTCATGGTAGACTTAACTGCCTTCAGAATGAGCTTGCTGTTGGTCTGTTTTCTTTCCTATTCTGGAAGTTAGAGCCTGTAATGTCTAATGTCTAAGTCTCTTTCAGCACTGATGCTCTGTGAAGTAGACTTGAAATATTCTTACATCTATGCATGGCATATAACTAGTCCTTAATAAATGGTATAATAAAATGCCATTTATTAGTATTATCATTGTTAAAGTTAATAAATGTTCACTCCTGATTCTAAACTTGATATACTGGAAAACTGATGGGACTCCCCATAAATTTGGTGACTCCTTTACTGGGCAGTAAAATTTCTAGGGGCATTTTTCCTCTTTGGTCAGCTCCAAACTCCATTATCGAGTTATCCTTGATTCACAGAAACTCAAGTTAGAAGACATCTTAAAAGTCAATTTCCAGCAAAGGATGTAGCAGAGAAAGAAAGGAGGCAAACTCTTCCCAGAATAATTTCCATTTGCAGGATTTCAAGATGAGTCTTATGGAGTTCCTGTTCACTTCTCCTTCTCCTATACTGCCTGGATTGCTGTTTATTACAGTTCACTGAAATTTTCTTTCAGAGCTATGAAGGACCTTGGTGGAGAGGCCAAACTCTAGTGGAGCCTCATTATCAAGTAATGTGTTGCTAAGTATAAGGCTGAGTAGAACTTCAAACTGCCTGGTTTCCTGCCACATGGCAGTTACGGAGGGAGAGTCCAGGGTCAGATCCTGCAGCACTACTCTTCACTTACAAAAAGGGAACATTTGTGCAAGACTTGGATCCACTTCCATTCCAATGTCAGCGATGGTTTTGCACTAACCATTACTACTCTATCAGTTCCTTGTCCCTGCGGCTACTGAGGCCTTTATAACAGGGCTGACTGTGGTAACCAGCAGAGCTTAAGGTCATGAAAGATGTTTTTTTTGTGGCACCTATTGATCCTTATCTGATCATTATCTGATTCATTCTGTCCAATTTGCTCTGATCTAGGAAGTGAATGAGTTCATCAAGGTAGATCCCTAAGCGGGAGGCAGGATGTGCTTGTGCATCAGTGGGAGAGGGGCTTCTTGGGTATTAGTTAGGTTTCAGAATCATAGTCTTTGAAAATGCACACATAATTGAAGCAGAAGATAACTGTAGAAGCAATGGACAATAATGTGAATAAATCAATACTCATATGTTTGACTTGTCAGATGAATGAGATTCCAAATATTTTTTTTAAAAACAGAGCTAGGTCTTTCCCCTCTAAAGACATAAGCATCCAAATGGAAGAATATTCCCTTTGAGTAAGTTAAATGCTGGCTCAGGGACTGGTTTATAAAGCAGAAGAGTGGTTTGCCCATTCATTTCCTACCTCACTTTCCAATTCTCTCTCATGTTCAGTGCAGTGAATGCTGTGTGTGTGTGCCAAGCAGGGCACGCTCACAGAAGGCAAGAATATTAGTGGAAAGGAAAAAAAGAAAGACACCATGGAGAAAAATATCAGTGAGCAATTTTGCCTCTCTTAGGAAAGGGCCTCCAGGCCTCAGGAGATCTAGTGCAGTGATTCCTCTTCATCTCCTTCAGAAGTTGAAGCCCAGAGGCGACATGGCTTTCAAAGAGAAGCATTTTGTGCTGCCTTTGCAGTCCTCAACAATAATGGCCCCAGAGTCTCAGAGAAACCTACAGGCCATCCTTCATCAATTTGACTCATGAAGTACTTGCGTAGTCCTCCCAGTGGTGGCAGGCTCTCCCTCCCATCTGACAGCAAATGCCCACAATTCTGAAGGAAAGAAAGATGGACTGATGTATCCTGAGATTTGGATCTTGACTGAGCTCTTCTCATCCCACCTGAAATCCATCAGCTTCTAGAGGAATATTCCACTCTCCCTATGGATAGATGCAGGTGGTCTGGGTGGCAATGAACTGTGATCTAATAGATGGTACACTTTCTGGACTCTAGGCTGTGGAGGGAAAAAGCAATGTGTCCAAAGGGCCCAGCCAGCAGTGAGAGTGTGCCAAAACTCCAAATCCAAGCATAGTGCGGATGCTTTTCCACCTATAAATAACAACAACACTAATAAATCACATTTACTCCAGCTATTCAGAGTCTGAATTCCACTAATCCTTTGTGCCTCCTCTCCCTCTGCCTCCTCCTCTTTCTCCAGCACCCAGCACAACTTCTGGAAACTTCTAGGTTCTCAAAAGGGATGTGCTGAATTGGTCAAATAAATGAGTAAAATGTGTGCCCTTCTGCAAATGATTTGGTTCTTCTGATTTTCCACTTCATCAGTAATTGGGGGATAATGTTATTTGGTGGGTTTGTTTTCAATATCAAACAACATAGCATACCTTATATGATGTGTAAATATCATAAAATGATAACTTTATGAGTTATGAATATAACTTTATGCATTTTATGACCTTTCAATTTATGAATATTGAATTTGCAGATATGGTTCAGCTGAGGGGTGGGGTGGCAGGAATAAAGCCCTAGGTAAATAAAAGAATCACTGCCCAAAGCTAGAGTTGTGAGGGTTAATTAATCTCAAGTGCATTTAACCAATATTTAGGAAGAAAGCTAATGGGGGATTGAAAAAGGAAGGGAGGGAAGGAAATGAAGGAGTTAGGGATATAGTGAATACTTTTTAAAGTCAATTGATTTACTTCATAAAGGGTAAATTTTCTTTTCACAAGAAATCATCTTGTGCCAAAAAAGGCGGGGAGGTTGTTCAGCAGAAGTGGGTTAATCTGAGCTCCCTCCGAGCTCCCTCCTGCCCAGCTGCAGTCACAGTGCATGACACAGTAATGAAGGCGGCATAGGCACATATTTCATCTGAACTTCCTCTGTGGTCCTTTTTGTATTGAAGTCTCTCACTGTTTCAGGGCTGTGGCTGTGCTTGGAAAAGGTGGAAAACTTTTCCCCTGGTGGAGAAAAAGAAGCCCGCATCAGACTCAATGGAACGAATGAATGAAGTTATTCCCTTGGCCCAGCATCCCCATCCAATTTCATACCAAATATTCATAGAAACGTCTTTCCTCAGTTCCGTGCCTGGAATTTTACTCTCGAGTGGTGTTGCCTAGAATCGGATGCACAGCTTTCAAAAGTCAACAGGCAACAGACGTGGCTTTGGAGCCACCGTGGTTGGCTTTTGCAAGAGTCCATGAGCCTTATGCTGCTATGTGGTAGCTTCTCCAGGGAGCAGAATGTGTGAAATAAACTGTTGCTTTAAAAATCATGAAGAATTAATAAAGTGAAAACCTAGGGTTATTTGTTGGCGATTGACAAGCAAGTGTCCTCCTTAAATACTAGTTGCTTAAGATTCTGAGCGAGGATGAATGAACCCTCGGGGCACCTGACTTGTACCAGCGCGTAAATCTCTTTAGTCTTTCGGGAAGTGGCGGTAAATTAATACAAATTTAGGACGGAGGAGAAAGAAGGGAGTAAAACCAAGATACTTACACGGGAGCTATCTTCCCAGACCTTTGGAAAGTCTCGCTTTTACTAGAGGGGGACCCTGGAGGTTACAGCCGAGAGAACCCAGCGGCGCTAGGACCTGGTTGGCGTCTGGCTGGGGCCGCTGTCGGGCAGGCAGGAGGAGGAGGGAGAGGAGGAGGGGGCAGAGTATGTGGGAAAGGAGGGGTGTTAAGGGGGGGGGGGGGGGGGAGTCATTTATGCAGAGCAGGCGCTGCTGCCATTGCCGCTCACTCTCCCCGCGCGCAGTTTGGAGCTGGAGGAAGCGCGGGGAGCAAGCTAGCAAGTGCTCGGAGCCCGGGCCAGCAGAGGGGGCACCCGGCCGCTGCCTGCACCGCCGCCTCCGCTGCGCACTGGGGCCCTGGGAGGAGTGAGGACCAGTGGAAGAGTCCGGAGCGGAGCTCGGCAAGATCCAACTGCAGGAGGGCGCCCGCCCCGCTCAGCCGCCTTCTGCGCTCGAGCAGAAGAGCCCCGGCTGTTCGCCCTGTGAGCCAGAGGGCTGGGAGCAGGTCCCTGCAGCCCAAGGGATGGTCTAGGAGCCGGCGTGAGGCTCGCTTGCTCTGCTCCCAGCTGGGACTCACCACCTACTGCAGACCTCCTAGAGCTGCGAGCTGCGGCGGCTGGGGGCTGCGCGCCGGGGAGGCACAGGCCGGAGAAGTTAGTTGTGCGCGCGCCGCTTAGTGCGCAGAGCGAGCGAACGAGGGAGGCAGCGAAGCGCCGGGGCCATGGGCTGGGGGAGCCGCTGCTGCTGCCCGGGACGGCTGGACCTGCTGTGCTTGCTGGCGCTGCTCGGGTGCTGCCTGCTCCCCGTCTGCCGGACGCGCGTCTACACCAACCACTGGGCGGTCAAAATCGCGGGCGGCTTCCCAGAGGCCAACCGCATCGCCAGCAAGTACGGCTTCATCAACATAGGACAGGTAACGACAGAGTGGCCAGCCCTCGGCCCAGAAGCTGCCCTGGGAACGGGTTGGGGGGGGTTCCCTTCGACATCACGCTTCTTGTCCCCTTCTCGTCAGCCCTCCTTCCCTCTTTTTCAGATGTGCTTTTGCAGCTGTTGCCCTAACTCTTGAGCGATGCTCTTTCTCCCCTCTGTTTCTTTTACACACATATACACACTCACTCCCCCAAAGTTGCTAGGATTTGCGTTTTGTTTACTTGTTTCTTGCAAGCTACGAGGGACAGGTAGGGTCTCTGGAAAAATCATGAATGCATTCTTCCGTGGTGGTTTCAGACCCAACCGGACCTTTTCACATGGAAAGTCGGGGAGCACTAATAGCCTGAGCTTTTTTTTTGCGGGGGTGTCGGGGGGGGGGGTAGGTAGGAGGTATGTATGGCCGTGGTGCCGGGCCCTTCTGGTTTCTGAGAGCTGGAGTTAGAGAGAGGCAGAGGAGGGAAAGCCTTTCCTGTTCTGACCTGAATTTAGCCTAGAAAGAAGTTTCCTCTTTGGGGGCAGGAGAGATGCTGGGCGCTGGAGGCGCAGGAGGCGCTGGAGGCTCCGGGACTAGAACTGGAAGGAAGGAGAGAGGCGGAGGGAGGGAGGGAAAGGGGGCCGGACCCGGCGTGAGCGCAGGTTTTGGTGGAGCCCTCCCAGCTTCTTGGCCTCTCTCGTGGGATCTGCGTGTGGGCTCCGGGAGACGGGAGGTGTTAAACGTCTCAGACCCGCTGACTGGGTCTGCTCTGGGAAAACAGCGACTCTCTCCCAGAGGGATGTGCGGAGCCCCGAGGTGGCGCGGGGCGAGAGTTGGGCGGGCAGAGGGTCACAGATATGTTTGTGGGGTACCTCTCGAGGGCTTTCTGCAGAGCTGCCTCGCTGGGGGACAGAGAATTCAATGGTGTTATGAGGATGATTGTTAGCGCAACAGATTAGGAGGTACCTCCGAGCTAAATGATCTTGGCTTTCTCTCTTTCCTACAAGAAATGGGGTGGAGAAGGCTGTGTAAGCGGTCCCAGAAAGTGCCCCTGTCCCCAAATACTCACACCCCCACTCACTTCCCCGGGACTGGCCGGAGGAAGATGCCCTACCCAGGTTTTGTGGAGACTCGGCTGGGGGTGGGAGGTGAGGGTGGTGGGGGCATCTCAGCAGATGCGCTTCTGGGACTGCTGGGTACGCACATGCCCTGCATGCCCTGCATGCCCTGCCTGGGTGAAGCGAGGGGAAGGGCTAGCTGAGGCTGGCTGCTGAAGCAAGACAGCACAGGCGATTTCTGATGTCACTGAGCTCCACGTCCTGGACTGCGAGCCATGCAGCCTAGGGACTCCACAGCTAGAGAGGAGCGAGGTGGCAGAGCTGCTGTAGCAGCATTTAGGAAGAACTAGGGAGTGCTGGGGGTTTGGAAGAGCAGGAGCAGGAAGTCTTACACTTTGCTGGTCCAGAAGGAAGATGACGTTCCAGAGCAGGGCAAAGGACAGTCTGTACCATCTACCTCACCCTCAGCCCAGACTAACACCTGGGAAGCCAGCCAGACTTTGTTCTGTGAGTGCCTGTCATCTTCAGAAGAGTTCATTTCAAATGGCTTGTTAGGATCCTGCTGGTAGAAAACACTGAGCCTGCTCCAAGTCTTTTTTATGTGAGCTTAGAATCTCATGCTGCGTGTGACTCAGGTGAAACTGGGAAGGTTAACACTGAAAGTAGTCATGCTGATCTTTCCAGAGATGCGTCTCTTGGGTTTAGCCAATGTTGAGCATCTCCCATATACCAGGCATATTGGGAAGAATAAGTTCTCGAACATACACTGCTTTCATAATCTAAAAAATGACTTGTTTTGGTGGATATTACTTCACATACAGCAAACAGGAAGCAAGACTGGAGAAGCTGACACGCACAGGGTCATCCAGCTATGATTCAGACCTAGCTCTCTCTGGTCCAGGCCTAATCCTACATGACTCCTGCCTTTTGGAGAATCCCTCCATCCTGTGGGTTGGGGGGTAGGGGGCAGGAGAAAGCAAAATCCCTGTTTCCCTGAATTCTCACTTAGTGGATCAGTAGCCTGGATGCAAATATCTAGTCTTTAATTCAAACAGACCTGGACTTCTTGAATCTTAAGAAGCTTCATGACTTGCAAGGACCCAGAGACCTATATCTGAATGAATTCATTACATAGACTTAGATATTGTAGAACATGGCAAAGTGAGAGAGGAGCTTTTGTCACCAAACGTGCTTTTGAACAAGCAATATTGCAGTGTCCTGCAGCCTTGCCTGACTTTTTCTAAAGTCTTCTACCATGGCTTTTCATTTAAAAAGTAATACTAAGAAATTTTACATGCAAAGAGCACCCACCACTATTTATGGTGGGGTTTTTTTTACAAGGCCAATGAGGAAATTCAGAGCTTACAGAAGTTACTGAGGACCCCTTGAACCGAGGCCATAAGCAGTGTAAAAAGATCAGCTATTCTTACAGTATAAAGGAAAGCATTTCCTTTGCAGATCAAAGGAGAGTAACCCTATGCTAAGTCTTTGGGGTGGTAAATTGAGTTCACACCTGCAATATCATTGCACTGTAAGGGCCAAACTTATTTCTTATCCATTCTTAACTGCTCTGACCTTTTAACACTTTAGACCTCCTTTTGTTATTCTTTCTTTCCATCAATAAACCAGCTGTGGTTCAGTTGAGGGCAGTAACTAATTTGCAAACGCCCCTGGAATGTTGTCCTGTTTTTTCCCATTTGGGCTTGGGGTTCCCCCTCATGTGTCACAAATTGGAACTGAGACCTGTTGTTGTTTCTGAAGCCCTGGTAGTATTTTTGATATATTTGATGTAATATTTTAAAAAGGTGAGTAAGGCAGTGGATTTTCACCACAGTATCGGTGCAGTTTTTGAGTATCAGAATTTCAGAATAATGTTTTGTGTAGCATCTTAGCATTTACAAGCCACCAGAGATAAAGTTTCTGGGCTGGAGATTTCTACAGAACAGAATGGGTGTGCCTCTTGTGTGCATGAAAGATAGGATGTGCAGAGTGACACACGGGCAAGCGGGCAGGCAGACGGGCAAACAGAATGTGCTTGACTTCCAGGAAGGAACAACAAGGAGGGGCTTTTCCCCCCTTTGGTTATAGAGATACATTTTGTTTGGCTAGGTTTTCACATGTTTATGTTTTGTCAATGGTTATGCATTGGCATTCTGAAATGATACCATAATTATTAGTAGTAGTTGTCCTGTCAGCATATATCGTATTTTGCTTGGTATTAGTGGCAGCTGTAGTATGCCCTGTCTTCCTTCCCCTTTAAGCCTTGACTCCTAGCCCCCTCAGTATCTGTCTAGTATGGGCAGCACCTGCTGGGCCAGCTGAGGGTAGGTGTGCCTGCCTGCTGGCTTGCCCCGGCGCAGGGAAAAGAGGGCTTAGTCCTCCCTCACTAATCGTGTGCTCTTACCCTTTCAACTAACAATGTAGTGAGTAGAGAATAGAAATGACATGAAGGAATTATACCTGGCATAATGTTAATTGTGAACCTTTGGACTAAATCTGCAATCTAGGAGGGATTAATTTCTGGTGATTTGAACCCAGGAGGAAAGTCCCCTGTGAAGGTTGCTTGCAATGTGCGGTAGCTGTATTTATCCTTCTGCCAATTGCTTATACTCCTTGATTCCAAGCTGAGGTTGCCAGCAGCAGAAGCCCCTCCACCAACTGTGTAACTTATCTTAAGCAAGATTCTAGAAGGATCAAGCCAGATTCAAGCAATAGTGGGGAAATATTTGACCTGGAGTTCCCACTGAAAGCATAGACTTGGAAACTCCATTGATGCCACTTGCAAGGTCGTTGAAAGAAGTGAAGTCATTGAACTTAATGGAGCTCCTGTTCCTTCATCTGTAAAATGGTAAATCTCTGGATAACAGAGTGAGTTAACTATGCATTGCTCAGCACATAGTTGGTTGTGCAGTGAAAGTTGTGTTGACTCTGAATCTGAAATAAGCGGGACTCAAACTTTATTTAGATAGGGAGAAAGAGGGACATTTTTAAAAAATGGGAGTTGCAAAATGTGAAGATCAGGTGAATAAATTTTTGGTGGTGACTGAGTAAAAGCTAAACCAGAGCTTTGTGGACAGGGAAAATGGTTTTCGATTTCAACTAACGACTTAAACTAGTTTTCTGTTGGATTCTAAATACTTCCAGCAGGTTTCCCATGGCAGTGCCCTCCTCTCTGGCGGGTCCTCGTTGCAGCCTGTTAAATATTATAGGACAAACTTGTTGGAGATGGAAGAAAGCGAAGAAACTATTGAAAGACTGATTATTTTATAAAGCATCCTACCTTGATACACTATGTTAGATTATGTGTGAATTTATATTTTGTTGAATTCTCAATGTAGTTTCTATGAGGAAAGTTAGAAGCAGCATTTTCTAAATCAGTGGGAAGAGATACTTTAGCAGGAAGATCCTGAAGTCTCCCACTCTGCTGGTTAATTTTGACCTGTGGGTGATGTGGGATGATTGAGAGGCCCATAAACAGTGGAGAGTGAGTTCTGGGTGTATGTGGTTGGCACTGGAAATAGGGGACGTGACTAGTCTGACGGGTTGTGGGGGAGTGGGCTGTCCTCCCCAAGTGAAATCTGTAGGCATTTTGTAACCAGAAAAATAAGTTGATGTGGGAGCCCTAGGTCGATCCCTGTGTGATACATCTGGCCTCACACAGGGCTTTTCACACCCAAGAACCCCAGCCCCGACCTCCGCTGGCCATCCTCACATGCATAGTTCTCGCGAGCAGGGGGACCTTTCATGAGAAAAAGCAGTTCAGAGCGCTTGGCCTAATGATGGCAGATCTGTTGCATTAACCTCATAGACTAGGAATGGCTTGTATGTGGCCATTGGGATTTTGGGGGTCTGTTTGAAATGAACACTGCATTTTTGTGAGCCCCAAGGCAGCTGCATTTGCCTTATTGCTATCTTTCATGAGCTTATATCCAGAGGTCCTAACCTTAAAGG